AGAAATGATAAATTATCCTAGGCCAAAGCTTAAAGAACCACCAGTCCAGAGTGAACGAGGATGATGGACTCCTGGAAAGTTGTCTCCAATTTAAAAAATAAACTGAGGGGCTGGCTGGGTGGCACAGCGGTTGAAGTTCGCATGCTCCACTTCGGTGGCCCGGGGTTCGCTGGTTCAGATCCCAGGTGCGGATGTGGCACCCGCTTGGCACGCCATGCTGTGGTAGGCATCCCACATATAAAGTAGAGGAAGATGGGCACAGATGTTAGCTCAGGGCCAGTCTTCCTCAGCAAAAAGAGGAGGATGGGCAGCAGATGTTAGCTCAGGGCTAATCTTCCAAAAAAAAAATAAAATAAACTGATAGGCTACCTGATGTATTTGAATATATTGAGAGAAGAGTTTGGGATGAATTAATTATAGATACTTGAATGCTCGGTACTAAGAGCAAAGAAAAGGAGGCACTGGCTAATTTCAATCAAAAAAAGGAAATGTAATAATATGCTAATTAAATCAACTATGAATAATATGTACAGTCATAATGAATAGTGACTTATCTAAAGTAATATAGACATATTGAAGGGTTGAGGATGGAGAAATAGTACATGTGTTTGAGAGGACATTAGAGTATATAAATACAGTTTATTTCCTATAGAAAGAAGTAAAATAATAGACCAAACTGAAAAATCAAGAACTAGTAGTATAAGCATGTTATTAAGAAATATGGAGATAAATCCTGGAAGAGAGAGCTAAAAGATAAGAATGAAGTTGTCTCTGGGGAATAGAAATTCAGAGTGTAGAGGGCCAGGGCAGGGCTTACTGTGAAACACTATTTGACTTTTTTTAAATGTACTATATTGGTAAAAATAAAAATGAAGACAAATAACGTAGCATTTCATTTATTTGAAAATCTTAGTGGTCAGAGAGGAGAGATTGTTTTCCTTGAGTATTTCCTCAAGGCACTAGAAAACCAACAATATTGATTTAGCACCCCTCTGAAACAACCTTTAAAACTTCTTCCTGTTTTGGTACTAAACTTTGTGTTGCTTTGTTATTTTAGGGACTCCAGTAACTGGTTAGCAATAGGGGTACCAGCATCTCTAGGAAGAGGGAGATAATATTCTGGCCTCCTACATTATTGTTATCATGGTGGGGACCAGCAAGTGATGGCATGGCATACTTATATGGCTTTACAAGCAGCAGAGGGCAGAAAATCTCACTGAAGGGGGCCCAGTAGGAGGGAGCATCCTGGTGATGCACGTGGTAAAGGAGAAGGCACATATAAGATAGTGCTGGGTATGCTCAGAAAGAACTGGAAGAACTTGTGTGTGTGTGTGTGTCACCATAACCACTAGAGGCACAATCCAAGGAAACCGTCATTGTTGATGCTGTGCATGACTCCATTTGTTCTCCTGGACTGGCGTAGCCTGGCAAAGTGCTAGGTAGATCAGAAAGGGTGGGGCAGAGAAATAAAGGGGCATCCAGTGAGCTATTTGATCACTGGAGAGGAAAGCGGGTGAGGAGGCTGCAGACAGAGCTAGCAAAACCTTGGTCCCAGATATATTTGTCCCAGATACATAAATTGTCACTTCTGCTTCCTAACCTCCTGACTTACACACTTAAATTTAGAGAAGGCTCTTCTTACTCTCCTTAGCCATCCCCTACCAGGGAATTTTTCAGGCCTCACGAAGAAGTGATAGGGCCCAGGACAGGTGGGAGGGTGCACCTGGACCTGTGTCACTCCTTAAAAGGAATGAAGTAGGGAAACCTAGTCACAGGGAAGCAAGGAAAAGGGAAGGGAAAAGAGTGGGTACTCACTAAGGCCGTCTTACCTGTAAACAGAACAACACTGATGTGACCTGAAGGTCTAGAAAGACCCTAGGTCAGAAATCTCCCCTCGGGGCCAGCGCCATAGCCAAGTGGTTAAATTCACCCTCTCCACTTGGGCAACCCAGGGTTTCGTCGGTCTGGATCCTGGGCGTGGACCTGGCACCGCTCATCAAGCCATGCTGAGGTGGCGTCCCACATAGCAGCACCAGAAGGACCTACAACTAGAATATACAACTATGTGCTGGGGGCTTTGTGGAGAAGAAAAAAAAAAATTGGCAACAGATGTTAGTTCAGGCGCCAATCTTTAAAAAAAAAAGAAATCTCCCCTCTCCTGCCTACTCAGGTGCCCCAGATCCCATCTGTACTTCATTGGGCATCTCAGCATCACCCTCTCATGGTCAGAAGGAAGTCAAATAGGGATTGAAGTAAGTACCTGGTTCTTCGAGACTGACCAGAGGAGCCTCTCCCATTCCCCTTTTCCAGGTCCCCACAAACATTTATTGGTTTTTACTCTATCCCAGTCTCAAGGCACAAAGATATTAGACAAGGTCTCTACCCTCTAAGAGCTTGAAATATTATGGTGGAGGTTGGGAATACAGAGGCAGATATGAAAACATAATTTTAACCATAATTGGCTAAATTAGGAAAGATATCTGCACAAACACAGAAAGGAGTGCACTTAAGTCAAGGAAGGCTTTCTAGCTTAGATGACCCCTGACCTAAGGGAAAAGTAAGAGTTATCTAGGTATGAGCAGGGCGGAATGAGAGGAACTGAACCCTCCACTTCTCTTGCATCACCTAAAATTACAGTCATCTTTTTTTGATGGACCTATACCTTCCCCAAACCCCAGGCTCTCACTGTGCCAGTTCCTCCCTGTCACCCCTCTCCTTACGGGTGAGTCTTCATTCAGTCTCCAGCCAGGCAACCATCTTAAAGGCACACTCTACTCATGGCAGCCACATTCTATATTCTAGAACAGTGATGCCTAACATAACTACTAAGTTTTCTAGTAGCCACATTTAAGAAATAAAAAGAAACAAGTGAAATTATTTTAATCATATATTTTATTTAAGCCAATGTAGCCAAAATAATTCAACTTTAATCAATATAAAAACATTAAGATATTTTGCTTCTTTCTACTAAGTCTTTGAAATCCAGTATATATTATACACTTACAGCATATCTCAATTCAGACTAAACGCATTTCAAGTGCTCAATTGCCATATGTGGTTAGTGGCTACTGTATTGGACAGTGTAATTCTGCCTAGACTGAGTGTACTTGGTGTTTCTCCATTAAACAGGTGAGGCCTATCAGACTGAGGCATTACTATATATTTCCTCTAAGCCTCTGTACCCCAAGTCAAGGCCCTGAGAACAATTTTGGAGAAGAGAAGGCCTGTGAGGTTTCAGCCAGAGAGTGAGCAGTCCCTTTAGATGCCAGACCTAGACAATTAACCCTAAATTGATCCCAGGCTTGCTGATGAGTCAGCTTCTAGCAATCACAGCTCCACAGTGCCTTACAGTCAGACACATTTGACCCCAGGTGTCTCCACATTGTCCTCTGGCTAGCAGAACACCCACTACACAGACTTGATATTTCACTATGTGACAGCATCTTGACAGGGCAGCCAGGAGGGGCCTTAGTGAAAGGTCATCTAGTCCTGCCCCTCTGGTTCTGGCTGGGACTGGGCACCATTTGCCACTTGGGACTGAAAGGTGCTAAATATATTTGGTGCGGTATCAGACACCTAATTTTTTTTTTTTTTTCTGAGGATGATTAGCCCTGAGCTAACTGCAGCCAATCCTCCTCTTTTTGTTGAGGAAGACTGGCCCTGAGCTAACATCCCTGCCCATCTTCCTCTACTTTACATGTGGGACGCCTGCCACAGCATGGCTTGCCAAGCAGTGCCATGTCCGCACTGGGATCCAAACCAGCGGCTGGCCCGGGCCGCAGAAGTGGAACGTGCGCACTTAACCACTGCGCCACCGGCAGGCCCCAGACACCTAATTTTTGTTAGACTCTAGCATTAACAAAAATTACATGGGAGAATAACATAGAAAAAATTCTATCCGTTAAAACATTTCTGCAAACCAGGAAAAGACCACCTTTAAAAGTTCTTTAAAGAAAGAAACACGGGTATTCCAGGGGAGGAGAATTTGAAATGCGAAGATAAGCATTCAATTTCCTCATATTGAGCCAAGAACCAGAGGCCAGAAAAGGGAAGTCTTTTTGCCCAAGTCATTCAGCCAATCCGTAGTGGTGGTGATGAGCCCTGCATCCTTTCCACTCACCCGACTCCACACTGTCTTCAATAACTGCAAAATATTTTAACTGAAGACACTGTGCCATCTCCAGGGCTCTCCTAGATTACCTGAGGAGGATGACCTGCACTGGAAAGACTGGTCAGCGCTCCCCCAACTCTGACCTAGGGGCCAGCCGCCTTGAACAGGATTGCAGCACGCCGATCCCCCAGCTTCTGCAGTTCTGGGCGGAGGAGGCTACTAGGGCGGTTCTTCCGCCAACACCCCACCTTCCGGAGCCTGGCCCGGCCGGCCCAGCCCCGCCGCTGTGGCCCAGTTCCTGGCGGCAGGCCGGGCCTAGCAGGTCGGCCCCCAGCGCGGGGCGAGCGGGGAGCCGCCGGCGGACGCCACGCCCACGAGGGCAGCTCACAGAGGTGGTCAGACAGCCTGCGGGGAGCGGCGTCCGTGGGCGGCAGGTTAGTACCGGGCCCAACGCGCCGGAGCCGAGCCCCGACCCTCTGACTTGGGCCGGCCTTCCCCGGCAGGGATGGCTCGGACGATCCCGTCCCCGTCCCCACGCCTAGCAGCCCCCCGCCCGCGCCGGCGGGGATGGGCCGCCCCCTCGGCCATTCCCGGCGCTTAGGCTCACTCCGGCCTCCGGGGTCTGGCAGCGAACGGCTCCGGCCTCGCAGGGGTCGCTGGCGGCCCCCATCTGAATCCCGGGCTTGCTGGGGGTCTCCCAGGGTGGGAGGCCTGTCCGGCGCACCGGTCCACAGCCGCCGCTGCTCCTGCGCCCGGAGCCACATCCTAGGCCTCCGAGCTCTGCCCGGCCGAGGCTGCCTGAGCCCGAGCGTGGGCCTGGCGGGCGCCGGCACCGCGCAGCCTCCTGGCCCTCCGCGCCGGGAAGCGTTTCCGGGGCGGATGCCTTTGTAGCTGACCCGGCGTGGCCGGTGACGTGAAGGCCCAGGCGGAAGTGCGGGCGGAGGAGCCGGAGCCGGAGCCCGAGCCTGAGCCTGAGCCCCAAGCCGGGAGCAGGTCTCGGGGGCTCCGGGCCGTGGGGACTGCCGGGCCTGGCAGCGATGGCGACCCTGTGGGGAGGCCTCGTTCGTCTGGGCTCCATGCTCAGCTTGTCCTGCCTGGCGCTCTCGGTGCTGCTGCTCGTGCAGCTGTCAGACGCCGCCAAGGTGAGTCCCGCCCAGCCCTCGCTCAAACAGGACCTCCCCGCCCCGCCGCCTCTGGTCTGGCGGAAACTGGGTCTGTCAACCTGCTCCCAGCCTATTCCTCCGCCAGCCCTGACAGCCCAACCCCCAGCTTCACAGCCCCGGCAAACGCCCACCCAGCACCCTCCCGAGATGGCACTCTTGTCCTCCTGTCCTGACAGTCTGACAGTCGCCGCCCCCGCTCCTACCCCCAGCCCTGACAGTGCCCTCCTCTTTGACGCCCTGATACGCCGCCCCCAGCTCCAGCTGCAGCTCCACCCAGCCCTGACAGTGCCCACAGCCTGGACAGCAGCTCCAGCTCCTCGACATTTCCCTCCCCAGCCCTGACAGCACCCAGCTCAAACTTTACAACCTTCCCAACTCTGAGAGCCTTTAACTTTCCCGCCTTACACTCTGACAGCCTACCGGCGCCCTCCATCAGCCTCACAGACCATCCCTCCCCCATTCCCCGAGCCAAAATGTTGGGAAGCCCCCCATCTCACAGAAGCCTTCCCTCTTAGGAGCTAACTTAACTCAGCCCTGAACAGATGCCCTTCCCATTGCCGGAACTTGCCTCTCCTGGCAGCCTTCCTTCGCAGTAACACCTGGAGCCTCTCTCATGAGCCTAGTATCCTCACCTAACTCCCTCCAGGACCTCTTGATCCCTTGCTTGCTTTCTATCTTCTTGATAGTTTAGTGTGTAAGGAAGGACCCAAACTACAGGAAGGGTGAGGTTGTGGCCTTCTCCCCTGCTCCATTTCTTGGCCCGTCTAGTCCCCACATGCGCTTTCTAGCCCCCTTCATGCCCCTTCCATCTAGACCTGCCCTGGCCCCATACACACTTGTGCTTTCTCCTTGATGAGCTAGCTCATTATTGGGAAAAACAGAAGGAATTCACATTAATGTGATGGAGAAACAGAAGGACATTTGCATTTTTAAAAATAGGAGCTTTGATCTATAATATCTTTAAATATAGGGTCTGGGAAAGACAGGTTACTTGGTCAGGGCTTCTTTTTGAAATCTTCCCTTCCTTCCACCAGAAAGAGGGGGAGCAGCAAGTCTCCCAACTTTCAAAACACTGCTGGCACCCTCTGCATACCTCCTGTCATCACTTTAAGTAGAGTCTTGGAGTCGTGTGTTTATTTGTCAGTCTCCTTTACTAGGGTGTGTCCTAATTACAGGCAGGAACCATGTCTTAGACTTATCTGAACCCACCTCATGGAGCACAAACAAATGTTCGCTAAGTGGTTGCTGAATGAGTGAATAAATTGTCAACGGCTCTGCCAGACATAGCAGTGGGCCTGGTCCTCTGGGGACTAATGGGCCACTGCCTTCTCAGATTTCCCTTTGCTAGGGAACATCTCCTATTGCCTCTATTCATATATTTAGTCACCTCTTTCTCCACCTCTTGAAACTGGCTTTATCGGTAGTTGTCCTCTCTGTCTACCAGAGATTAGAAGCAGTTTTCTGGGGAGGGTAGACCAAACTGATCTCAGGTAGACTCAACCACTGCCCTTATGTACGTCCTTTCCAATTGTAGCTGAGTGCCTCTAAAACTTCATCCCTTCTATCGGGCTCTGGCCCAACCCCTTTCATCCATATCACGCCTTTCAACCAAAGGGTAGAAGGATGGTGGGTAGAAGAATTGTGACTTGTTTTGTGAGTAATGTTTAGTTTGATTCTTCCCCATCCTTTTGTAATCAGCATTGTTATTTGCAGGCACAGCTGTCTACTGTGTCTTTCTACTGGCGAGTAGATGGTGATAGCATTAGCACAATTTGATTGTCATGTGACCCGTAAATGTGATGTCACAGACCATGTACTAGGTATTATTTCAAAATACTTTTATGTAATATGTAATGATTCATTAGCATTACCAAAAAGAGCTTGTGGCTTTTAATAACTTGTATCTCTTAAAGTTATTTAAGGTTTGAATGAATGGTTTTAGAATATTTAGCAGGGGATGCTTAGCAAAATGTGTATGGTCCAATTTTGAAAAATATTAATGATAAACTGTCAACAAGCTATATTAAGTTCCCATTTTGGTTACAGAATTTCGAAGATGTCCGATGTAAATGTATCTGTCCTCCCTATAAAGATAATTCTGGACATATTTATAATAAGAACATATCCCAAAAAGATTGGTAAGTATTCCAGATCACTGAATTACCTGTCAAGTTTCTTTCTGTGGTTGTCACTATTAGCCCAGAATGTTCATCTAATGTAGTGTTTTATTTTTAAGTATTTCTTTTTAAGCAAAAGTTTTGAATTCCATTTCCATTTGAACAAGTGAGACTGAGGCCCTGTGTGCATGATGTAAGCCTAAGGGAACATAGCCAAAACACTAAGCCGCAGGTAGGGAGGGTTTCGTATGGGCATGCGGCTGAGTTTGTGTCACCTACCTTCCTGTGCTCCCTTAAATTTTGTTTCTCCCTCTTGCTGTTTAGTGGAAGGTAAGCAAGCCACATTTCTCTGAGTTATAATTTCTACAACTTGTAGGTTTTGATGATATATTGCCAAATAAAGGAGATTATGTTTAAAAGTGGCAGAAGACTCAGGAAGGAATGAGAATGGGCTACATATATGAGTTTCCTAATTGGTGTGCCATGAGTAGGTTATAGGTGTGCCAAGATGTTGATCCCTCCAGCCCTTGGGATAGTCAGGCAGGCCTGTGATGACTGCGACCCTGACTGGCTAGCCACCAGCAGCCTTCTCTGTTTATCCCAGTGGACCTTACAAATGATAGCCTTTTCTGCATGTGCCATTAAATGGTGGGGAAGCAGCTGTTTTCTAACAGGATGGATGGGCTCCTTCCTGTGGAATTGTGATGTTTGATCGTTTGTAACCATAGCGGAAGATTGCCAGGACAGGGATAGAAGAAAAATAGTTCCAAATAGCTACGTGCTTTCACATGTACCTGATTTCACAGCTAATAGCCCCAAAAGTTTGAAAGTAGAATTAAATTCATTTGGTTATTATGTTCCAAGCTGACTTTGAAAAAGGCAACCTTTGAGCCTAGTTAGTTTTTCTGATGCCATTGCCTGTTCTTCCCCTGATAGGCATTTATTCAATCTGCTATTTGGTAAGTGTGTTCTGGAGAACTTCTTGTGAACTGCTGTGTTCCACTTTAAATTGTTTCTCATATTACAAAGTGATTTAGCTATATTCTTATAGGTTTTATATCAGCAAGTTATTTTATGTAAGAAAGCTCAAAATAAGTTTTTAAGTTATTTCTATAAATTTTCCAAATATATTGAGCACTGATAATCAGTTTATTCCGTTATCAGCAATGGAATATGATGCCTATTATTTGAGCAGCAAATGAACTTGCTATTCAAGTGTTTAACATTAATCTTTTCACTGACCTGTTGTTATTCCAGGTTCAGACCTGGATATGTCATTCATCCCCGGTTATTGGTCAAACTGGGGAGCTTTGAAAGTAAACAGTTGAAAACAAGGCTTGTTTGGGATTTTTCTTCTCTCTTTCCCTTGCTTCCTTCCTTCTCCTGCAATTTAGCCTTTAACTGGGGATAGGTTTCCAGCTGTCACTGAAAATTGTTGGTTTTGGTTTGGTTTTTTTTTTGATGAGGAACATTGACCCTGAAGTAACATCTGTTGCCAATCTTCCTCTTTTGCTGAGCTAACGTCTGTTCCAGTCTTCCTCTATTTTGTATGTAGAACACCGCCACAGTGTGGCAGGATTAGTGGTGTGTAGGTCCACACCTGGGATCCAAACCCTCAAACTCTGGGCTGCTGAAGCAGAGTGCACAAACCCAACCATGGTGCCACAAGGCAAGCCCCCAGCTCCCCCCCCACCCCCACCCCCCGAAAGTTTTTAACTGGCTTTAGGCAAGTTATGATTAATCAGGATGTTATGGCTTTACAAGGCCTCCCATATCTATCTGGCCCTAGATATGTTTTTACCTTTTGGCCTCCATTTTGTCCAGTTGTTAGCTTTTTTTGCGGGGGGGTGGGGGGGGGTGGAGGGTGGAGATTAGCCCTGAGCTAACTACTACCAATACTCCTCTTTTTGCTGAGGAAGATTGGCCCTGAGCTAACATCTGTGCCCATCTTCCCTTACTTTATCCCATCTTCCTCTACTTTATATGTTGGACACCTGCTACAGCGTGGCTTGACAGTGCATAGGTCCACACCCGGGGTCTGAACTGGCGAACCCTGGACCACCAAAGTGGAGTGTGCCAACTTAACTGCTATGCCACAAGGCCAGCCCCCAGTTGTTAGCTTTAATTCTTCATTGACTAATGCTATCTCACTTAAGAAAAGTTTGAGTTCTGTGGTTTGTCTCTGGTGTGATTTAAAGCTGATAATGTCCTCCTTTTGGCACTAGAGGGAGATGTTGCCTCGTTCCTAAAGTGGTTGAGTTCTGTATCTGGGTTCTGTGTTTACAGTGACTGGCCAGCCAGACCCAACCTTCCTGCTTCTTCTCCCACCCTGCACCACTTTTGCACAGCACTCAATATCTCTTTGTTATTAAACTGTATTTGTGCTTCAGAAGAAACACTCAATACTCAGCGCTTAGATTCCCAAGTAATTCTTAGGTATTGTTACCAAGGCTTCTGAAGCTGAAATAGGAAACTAAATAGGAAATAAGTCTCATTTTACTGAGGATCCGAGAGATACAGGGGGGCTGATCTAGAAGACAGGAGCCCCGGATTCTGGTCATTTTGCTACTAATTTACTCTGTGACCTTGTGCAGGTGTCCTCTCTGAGAGTGTTGGGCTGGATGACCTCTATGATTCCAAGATAGACAGCCCTGTAGTGGGATTTAGTTTCCTCTGCCCCTGTTATGCCTGCATCCAGCTGGATACATTCCTGGTCTTCTATATGTTTGGAAAGGTATCACACACTTGGATGGTGTGACTTGTGGAACCTTACCCTTATCTGAAGTTCTACCAGTTGAGACTCATTTTTCTATTACTACCTTTGTTAAATTACCTGTTAAGGATAAGTGATTGAACTTTTATCATTTCTGCCATTTTGGGTTTTTTTCTCTTGCCACAGCTCAGGGAAGGGAACACAGAAAATTACGTTTTCCTAGGGCAAAGGGAAAGAATCAGCCTGAAGCTTTGGGTGACCCCAAGAAGGACGGGTGAAGCCAGCCCTGATGGTCTAGTGGTTAAAGTTTGGTGATCTCAGCACTTGGGCAGCCCAGGTTCGCTTCTTGGTCAGAAAACCACACCACCCATCTGTCAGTAGCCATGCTTTGGTGGCAGCTCACATAGAAGAACTAGAAGGACTTAGAACTAGGAAATACAACCATGCACTGGGGCTTTGGGGAGGAAAAATAGAAGAAAGCAGAAGGATGGGTGGAGTGAGAGAGGATGCTCTAGTAGAGTTCTTGAGGCAGCAGAAATGCCTAAGGAAGAGATGACAAAAGGGAAGACAGCTGCCCAGCGGCTGGCAGGAAGACAGGAAAGCTCTGCCTGTGTTTGCTGAGGCTGGTCAGAGTAGGCTCTTAATAGCTGAGGAGAGTAATCATTTAATTATTTCCTAGAATTGACAGATTTTAAAAAATAGAATTGCTTTTTAATAAGCAATAAATAAGTAGCCTGGAAAACGGGGGAAAAATAAACAACATCCAGCAGCAAAAACATTCAGCCTTTTATTATTTTATATATCACTTCTGCGTAATCAGTTTTCATTTTAAAATATTTTCATTGTTCTAATCCTGCTTCTCCATGCTTTTTCAATAGACTTTTGCACATTGAGAAAAGTAATTGTTTCTTACTGTGGCTTTTTGAGTGTTCAGTTTTCAGAGTTTCTGAATTTACCAACTAAGTGTGATTAGCCATTCATATACCACACTGTGGCAACTAAGAATGATGCTAGTTAATTCATAAAAGAGAGAATCGCATATGTGAACAATGCCCAAGGTCACTTTAAATCATTAAAACAGTTTTGCTTGGTAACTGAACAAGTCTAAATATGACCTGATCTGCTCAGTAGTTGTCAATTCTGTTCGGGATTTGTCAGGTGCCTTTTTAACTGTGAACACTAGCACCTTGGAAAATAGCTACTACATATGTGTCTCTATGGTTTCTTAGCAAATTGCTGGTATTGAGAGAGGAAATGATTTCGCTTTCCTTGTTGGTTATTTGCTCCGTGTATTCTTTGATTGGGGGAGTTCAGAGATTACCCTGGATTTCAGGAAAGTTTTGATCAGTGGAAGTAGAAAATCCCAGCTCGGTTTAGGCAGTATTTTCCCTTTGTTTCTTCAGCGATTGCCTTCATGTTGTGGATCCCATGCCTGTGCGGGGGCCTGACGTAGAGGCATACTGTCTACGCTGTGAATGCAAATATGAGGAAAGAAGTTCTGTTACAATCAAGGTAAAAAAAAAAAATCCATTTTTTTCTGCTTCTGGAATAGTTCTTGATGGTATCTAGGCAAGAAAGAAAAATTTGGACATCTGAATTCTACTTTAGTTACCTAAACTACAGCTCTTCCCTCCTCTTCCCCACCACCCCCTCCTTCCTCATCCCCAACCCCCACTCTAAAAGGAACAATGAGTCTGCTCTCTGCTTGCCTCACGGAGATGCTTTGTGGATTAATTAGGATATGTTAGATAGGTGTGATATGTGAAATGGCACAAAAATATCCTGTGTGTAATTAGCATATCCCAGAAAGCTATCCCAGCTTCTCTGTGGACCATGTATGCCAAAGGCTAGAGAGAGCAACGTGATGGAGCCGTCTTCTCCCTGCCCTCTCAACCCTTAGAAAAATTATATAGAGATTGACTATTCTAGAAACATCGTTTCTGGATTTTAAGGTTCCCTATAGGAAAAGGAAGGTAGATTGCTCTCATCACCATTTGGACCTCTAATGGGTTCAATTACTTTATTATGGAGGCTAACAGTTTTTCTCCTCTTTTTTTTATGTGGAGCTTTCCATTCTTTCCCCCCAAAAAGGCCTCATCAGGACTTTGTGGTGGGCAGCTGTAACAGGTGCAAAGATTTCTGTTGTGATTGACCCTGTGGGAGAGCTCCTGCTCCAGTAGGGTGCTGTCCTGAAGGGAAATCCTCACTGTACTTTTTTATTTTTTAACAAAGTTTTTTATGTGTAATTTACATACCCTAAAAGTCACTCATTTTAAGTGTACAACTGTATAAATTTTAGCAAATTAAAAAAAATTTTTTAACCCAGTTTTAGAACATTCCCATCACCCAAAAAAGTTCCCTCATGCTCATTTACGGTTAATCCCATTACTACCCCCAGCCCTAGACAATTGCTATTCTGCTTTATGTCTCTACTGATCTGGATATTTCATATAAAAACAGTCATACCATATGTGGTCTTCTGTGACTGGTTTCTTTCATTTAGCACGTTTTTGAGGTTTATTCATGTTGTAGCATGTATCAGTACTCCATTCCTTTTTATTACTGAATAGCATTCTATTATATGAATACACCACATTTTGTTTATCCATTCATCAGTTGATAGACATTCGGGTTATTTCCAGATTTTTATTATTATGAATAATGCTGTCATGACTTATCTGTGTACATGTCTTTGTGTGGATATGGTTTGCTTTCTCTCAGATATATTCCTTAGAGAGGTAAGTTTATGCTTAACTTTTTAAGAAACTGCCAGATTGTTTTCCAAAGAGGTTATACCATTTTATGTTCTCACCAGCCATGCAGGTGGGTTCAGTTTCTTCACAACCTCACTAACATTTGGTATTGTCTGTCTTTAATTACAGCTATTCTAATGGGGGGGGGGGGTGTCATGTACTTTTTGACAGCACACGCGAATTAAGACGTCAAGAAAATCACTGGCCTAAAATGTATTTTTGTATATATAAATTGATCTAAAAGAGTATCCTGCTGAAATTCATCTGAACTGTATTTTCTGCTAGGGTTCCTTTAAATTGTCTTGACAGCAGTGCAGCTGAATCTAGGGCACTGTATTCAGGTGAAAAAAGAAAACTGCTATACATGATTAGCAGTAGGTGAAGATGGAGTCTTGAAGACTTGCAGAAAGATCCCAAAGATAAAATGCTTCCTTTCCTCTTTTTCTTTAAATAACACTTTGCTGAAGAGTTGAGTATGTTTCTTACATTGGAATCTGGTTTGTATAGAAATCCTATATGCTTAGGGCTGGACCTGTTGCCCAGTGGTTAGGTTCAGTGCATTTTGCTTTGGTGGTCTGGGTTCAGTTCCCAGGTGCAGATGTACACCACTCATTGGCAGCCATGCTGTGGCAGCAACCCACATACAAAATAGAAGAAGACTTGCTTGGATGTTAGCTCAGGGCAAATCTTCCTAAGCAAAAAGAGGAATATTCACAACAGATGTTAGCTCAGGGCGAATCTTCCTCAGCAAAAGAAAAAAAGAGAGAGAGAGACTAAGAAATCCTATATGCCTAGCAGGTAAATCAGTCTTCCTTGTGACTTTATACAAAATTCTGATTTCTTGGTTTGAACAGAAATGTAATTTACTTTCAACTTCCTGTAGGTTACTATTATAATTTATCTCTCCATTTTGGGCCTTCTACTTCTGTACATGGTGTATCTTACTCTGGTGGAGCCCATACTGAAGAGACGCCTGTTTGGACACTCACAATTGATACAGAGCGATGACGATGTTGGGGTAAGTTCTTAACATGTCCCGGCTATTCGTGGCCAGTCTGTGTCATCATCTGATATAAAGTGCAAGAGAAAAATAGTCGAATATAGATGTTCATGTGCTGGAGCAGATCGAGTCCTCAACTAGAGAAGCTAAAGACAGTTCTAATTTTAGCGTATGTCTCTTTATGAGGAAATCGCTTTGTAAAGCTGTAAATGTGGTGGTTTAAACTGATGGTCCTTGGTATGTATGCTGTACAAGGCCTTGCCCTTCAGAACCAAGGGCACAATTTTCATTGCCTTTCCCTCTTTACATTGAGAACAGCATTTGAGATAGTTCTCTCCCCAAGCTCCTGCCTGAACACCTTTCCTGTCAGCATCACCAAATATTTTAGAAGGCAAGGAGGCTTCAGTGAGGGGAAGCAGGAAGACCATGTTCTGTTCTTACTGAAGTACAGCTTGATAACCTGCTGATGTTTTATATTTTCTGTTTTCCTCCTTCTTAAAAAAAAATCTGATCTTTAACTTTTGAGAAAATAAAACCACACTCCTGATTCTCTTCCTATATTTAAAACACATTTATGTTTGTAAATTTGGTTGGTATAATCAGTGTATAAATTGTTTTTTGGTCTCCTTTTTGTGTTAACGTTACTTTATTCAAAAATGTCCAGAAAGATAGTCCACAACTTGTTAATCAGTATGGTTTAGAGCATTATAGTGTTTGTTTTGTCATTATCCTGTTTGGTCTTGTTTCCAAATTTTCCAGTATTTCATTTTATTTATTTTAGAAATTACTTTTTAGTTTGGATTACTTTATTGCACTCTGTTCGTTAAAGTGGATAAAACTCAGTAGAGTTTCAAGAACCAATCCCAAAAGCTAAAGCCAGGGTGAGCCCTTGCCAACCACAGTCCAAAGTCCTTTTACTCTGGGATGGCTTGTGGACCTGTTGGCCAAAGATGGGAAAAGGGGTCCTAACTGAACTGGATGGCTTGGGTTATAACTATAAACAGAGCCTGCTTTTTGATCAATATATTATTGTCCCATGAATATTGGTTATGAATACTCAACTTATTTGGGTAAGATTTCGTTTTTGTTTTACCAAGAACTTTTATAGAATCACCTCTGCCTCTTTTTCTCATACTTCTTTTGTTAACTCAACTAACACATAATGAGTAACTTTTTCATATCAGATACTGTGCTGCCTACTAGGAATAAAGAGATGAATAAAACAGAAACAGACATGTAAAAGAAATGACTCATAATACTATATTTCCACCTTTTATTTTTAATCATATAAGGAATGCCTATATATTTTCAAAGAATTCCAGGAGGGGACTGATAAGCTGGGAGAAAGGTCAAGACTGGAGATCTAATGTGGTCAAAAACCAGGCATAATAGTGGGGCTAATGGGGTGAGAGAGCTTGGAAGGACAGGAGGTTGTGTCCCGGAAGCATTAGAGTCTCAGATACTGTTCCCATGTTCATTTTCATTCACATCTCACAGGTTTTCTCAGCCTCAACAGTATGGACATTTTGGATCAGGTGATTCTTTGTTGCGGGGGGGGGGAGGGGGGGGAGCGTCCTGTTCATGGTGAGATATTTAGCAGCATCCCTGACCTCTACCCCCTAGATGCCAGTAGCACCACTCACCCCACTCGTGACAATCAAAAATGACCACAGACATTGCCAAATGTCCCAGGGGGAAAATCACCCCCAATTGAGAACTACTAACATATGAAAATGTTATGTATCAAAGACCACATCTCATTATAGCCACATAGACAGAAAGTCTGACTTAAACTATATCATTTGCAGCATTAAATATGTGGTTCCTGATTTTCGGGATAGACAATATTAATATAATACACACAGAACATAAAAGAAATGCACAAATGTATAGACGAAAACCTGTAGGAAAGGCATTCACTTGGTGGGGTCATGTACTCGTAACCATTGTGTTCACCAGTGATCGATTCTCTGTGTATGTTGACCATTTGGGAACGTTGTCTCTGAGAGGCCTGGCTGACTCTTGGATATCTGTTAATCTGATTCTGAGAGGTTTCCTGACCAGAGCTGCGAATTTATGCTAAAAACTCTAAACAAAAAGAAATTAAATTTAAATTCCTACAATTGTTGCTTTTCCAACATGAGCCTTCTTCACTATTTATGTGTTTTAAAAATGCTTTTGCTAAATTCTTAGTTAAATTTTGTTTTCATTTTTTTCTACTTTTGTTCAGTGTAGAACATTTTTTTAAAGATTTTTATTTCTTCCTTTTTCTCCCCAAAGCCCCCCAGTACATAGTTGTATATTCTTCGTTGTGGGTCCTTCTAGTTGTGGCATGTGGGATGCTGCCTCAGCGTGGCTTGACGAGCAGTGCCATGTCAAACCAACGAAACACTGGGCCGCCTGCAGCAGAGCGTGCGATCTTAACCACTCGGCCACGGGGCCAGCCCCCGGTGTAGAACATTTTAAGTCAAGTGAGAGGGGCCAGCCCGGTGGTGCAGCAGTTAAGTTCGCACGTTCCGCTTTGGCAGCCTGGGGTTCGCCGGTTGGGATCCTGGGTGTGGGCCTAGCACCGCTTGTCAGGCCATGCTGTGGCAGGCATCTCACATAAAAAGTAGAGGAAGATAGGCATGGATGTTAGCTCAGGGCCAGCCTTCCTCAGCAAAAAGAGGAGGATAGGCGGCAGATGTTAGCTCAGGGCTAATCTTCCTCAAAAAAAAAAAATAAAGGTGAGAGTTAATACAAATACTTAAGAAGCACACTGCAAGTAGTCACAATATTTACTGTATCATATATCCATGACACATCATTGCTATTATCAAAGCATTACATTAAAACATGTTTTGTATTTATTGTAATTTTATCAGGTGTAAAAAGAACAAACATATAAAAAGGGTAAATCTCTATTTGCATTCTCCTAGTGTCCATGACCATGAGCAGCTAGTTCAATCTTGTCCTGATAGGTGGAGAACAGACCAAAAGGATTAACTGGTTTGTTTAGTCCTTTAAATTTGTCCTTAAGAAGATTTTTCTCCCCTTACCTGAAGAGTGGATAATAGGACTGTGAAATTGAGAGGTGCTCTTGATAAAGTACATCCTTCTTCCCAGACTGGTTTATGTCGAAACAAACCAATGGTAATAATATTTTATATACAAGTTCATGGAAGCACTGTAGTCCTATAGTGTCATTTTAATCTACCTGAACGAAATCAGTGTGTTGAGACACTGTGACGCCAGGTCAAGGTTAGATGTTTGTGCTCCTTGGTTAGATGACCTTCGGTAGGTTTATTTCCTTAGGGGAGATCAGGTAATCCAACCTTTAGCTTCCTCTTTCCTCACCGTCTTTCTTACATCTTTGAAACATTTTGAACTTTATGGAGTTGCTTTTATTATTTTCATTTGTAAAGTTAAAAATAAAAATAAATAAATGGGGTTTGTACAAGCGGTTACCTAAATTAAGTGAAAAGTTGAGACAATTTTGGTAAAGGAGGCGGGGAAAGATTCTTTATAGAAAACTCTTTGATGTCTTTGAAATGTAGACATTGTATAAACGTCTTGCTATAAAAAGACCAGGTGTTTCAACACCGTGTAGTCATGGTGGTATATATAGTTACATGGTTGTGTATAGCTTTCCATAGAGTGCTGACTCCTGCCCTGGATGTGTAATAGAGCACAGCAAAACAGTATTGCTTCTTTCCTAGAGGCAAAGTTTAGTTTAAGAGGTACGACTTGTCACTTGGATCCTATGTTGGAACATTTAGAAGCATTGCTAACACAGTATTCAGGAAAAAGAGATCAAGGCAAAGGCAAACAAAAGCAATAAATTCATATTGAATGCTTTTTGTCATTTAGGCAGCTGTGTTTATATCTCATTCATAGACAGATTAGCATGGTGGTTTCCTGTGTGATGACTACAAACATCCAGTTGCATTGGTTTACTTTGACCGGGATAGGTGTGTTTTCTACACACATACCTTCAATAGCCTCTTTCCGAAGGCAGCAACTAATATGGGAGCCCCTGAGTGCTCAGCAATGAAAGGTTCACGTCTTATCAAATCGAAATGCTGTGATAATAATTCCTTACTGTCCTTGGTAATAGAGGGTACTTATAGCGCTTGAGCTGTGTCTCTTTTCGTTATAGATTGGGAGGGGGAAATGAAAAGGCTTTTGGAAACCAGTCCATTTAGTGTATGTGTTAAGGGTACAGGGAGAGATTAAAAGCAACCCAGATAAGATCCTGTGGCCTCATCTCCCAGCGTGAATGTTGCCCCAAGCTGGCAAGTAACAAATCTAATATAATGAGAACAGGAAATAAAAACACAGGTTAGCTGTATAGTATTGAATAAATCAAGGAAAAGCCCTACTTTCCGTGTCTGTAATATGTAGATATTAATATGAAAATAGATTTTCCTTCCCCTACTTGTCAGAGAAGGCTTCTCTCTAACGTAAATGACCAGTGTCTTTGCCTTGGTCTCTGCTTCTTAAGGGGAAATGTCTTTGGAGATGGTGACCCATGGGAACATTTCACAAATCACCTTCTCATTGCTTATGGTGTTGAACCACCTATTTCCGTAGTTGAACATCCAACTTCTGGTAGTTGAGTGCCTAGGTGTGCTTGGCCAAAGGGACAGTCTGTTGTTTGAAAAGCCCAGCTGCTCCTGTCTCTGTGGTTGGATAACTGCTGTCCTGTGCGTGTGTTACATTGATTCCGCCATCTCTGATGTTCTCCGTTCTTGGACTTTCAGGATCACCAGCCTTTTGCAAATGCCCATGATGTGCTGGCTCGTTCCCGCAGTCGAGCCAATGTGCTAAATAAGGTAGAGTACGCCCAGCAGCGCTGGAAGCTTCAAGTTCAAGAGCAGCGAAAATCCGTCTTTGACCGTCATGTCGTCCTCAGCTAATTGGGAATCAAATTCAAGGTGACTAGAAGGAAACGAGGCAGATGGAAAAAAATTGACTGAGTTTTCCTGGGTTTTGTTTTAATACCTTCTTGATTTCACCAACTCCTGCTGGAAAATTCAAAACTAGAAACAAAAACGTGCTTGGCATTTTCTTTTCTTGTTAATGTATTAATAGAGACGTTTTTAAAAGCACACACCTCAAAGTCAGCCAATAAATCTTTTCCTGTTTGTGACTTTTACTAATAAAAATAAGTCTGCCTAAATTATCTTAAGTCCTTTACCTGGAACAAGTGCTCTCTTTTTTACCACACAGTTTTAACTTGGTTTTCAAGATAATTTTCAGGTGGGTTTTGTTTTGGTTTCTTTTTTGGCAGGGGGGAGAGGGATGCGTGGGAAGTGCTGAACATAACTTTTCTCAAGTCACTTTAGTAAACAGCTTTTGTAAATAGACTTTACTTTCTATTTTCAAGCTTCATTTATATTTTGCAGCATAGCCAGCCTCATCAAAGCCCTGACTTACCCATTTGAATTTTGCACTGACTGTATTGTCTAGGTATCTGGTTGGCCTGTGGCTGCACTTCCTGGTAAACTGAATCCGAAATGCCTGGTGGCTCTTCACAAAATGCAGATTTTCTTCTTGTACTGTGATGTCTGATGCAATGCATCCTAGGACAAACTGGCCATTTGCTAGTTTACTCTAACGACTAAACAGTCTTGATGTGTGTGGTCTTTCTCATCTTCGTCTAGTATCTTTAAGGACGAATCTTAAGGACTTGGACATTTGCAATAAAGAAATTTTCTTTTGAACCCAAGCCTCCCTGGATTGATGACATACACATATTTGTCAGCATTTCCGGTCAGGTTGAGAGGCAGCTGCTTGAGCTCTAGTGTGTGCAGCTTTGAACTAGGACTGGAGTTCTGGGTGCCTCCCTCTGAAAGGTATAACAGTTATTGGATAACTGGCTTTTTTCTTCCTATGTCCTCTTTGGAATGTAACAATAAAAATAATTTTGAAACACCTACCTGTGTGTCTATGTCTGCTAACTTCTCTCTCTTCCCTCTTTTGCTGTATTACGAACTTGAAGATGCAAAGACATTTTGTACCCTGTTGTGAGACTACTGTTTTATACCAGTCTAATCATAAAATATCCTTACTAAATTATCTGTTTGTATATATGTGTGTGTGGAGGCAGGGGAAGAGAATGTATGAATACTTAGATGGGTCTCTGACAATATACAAATAGTGTTTTGATAAACTCAGAGATTTAAAATGAATGAAGTAATACTTGTTCTAAGAAGTTCTTGGCAAAAATTATATTAGAATTAAATTACATTAAATTCATAAGGATGAGGTTTTAGGAGCTGTTAATGGGTTTTTTTTGTTTAGTGAAAAACAATTTTTTTCAAATCCACAAATCTAACTTAAAATTATTGATTTCATTGTTAGTATTAAAAGATATAATTTCAACTACAATCAAGTGGAAGTTATCCCAGGTGTGCAAGGCTGGTTGAACATTTGAAAATTAATTTATGAACTCCATCAATCAACAGCCTAAAGAAGAAAAATGACCTGATCCTATCAATAGATGCAGAAAAAGCATTTGACAAAATCCAACACCAATTCATGATAAAAATTCTTAGGGGCTGACCCCCTGGTGTAGTGCTTAAGTTCAGCGCACTTTGCTTCGGCGGCCCAGGTTCAGATTCTTCGGTTCACAGGTTCAGATTCTGCGTGAGGACCTACACCACTCATCAGCCATGCTGTGGTGATGACCCACATATAAACAAGAGAAAGATTGGCACAGATGTTAGCTCAGGGCTAATCTTCCTCAGGGAAAAAAAATTACATCTCAGTAGACTAGGAATAGAGGATAACTTTCTCAACTTGATAAAGAATATCTACAAAACCTATAGCTAACATCATAGTTAATAGTGAGAAAATAGAAGGTTTCCTGCTAAAATAAGGAACAGGGCAAGGCTGTCTTCTCTCACCACTCCTTTCCAACATCATAGTGCAAATCCTAGCTAATGTAGTGAGACAAGAAAAAGGAAATAAAAAGTATGCAGATTGACAAGAAAGAAACTTTGTTTACAGAGACAGTCTGTCTACATGACATGGTTGTCTATGTAGAAAATCCAAAAGAATTGACCAAAAAAAAATAAGGGGCTGGCCCAGTGGCACAGCAGTTAAGTTCACGCACTCCACTTTGGCAGCCTGCGGTTCGCTGGTTTAGTTCCTGGGCATGGACCTACCCACCACTTATCAAGCCATGCTGTGGCAGGCATCCCACATATAAAAGTAGAGGAAGATGGACACAGATGTTAGCTCAGGGCCAATCTTCCTCAGTGAAAAAGAGGAGGATTGGCAGTGGATGTTAGCTCAGGGCTAATCTTCCTCAAAAAATTTAAAAAAAACTAACACATGATTATAGCAAGGTTGTAGGATAGAAGGTTAGTATACAAAAGTTAACTGCTTTTCTATATACCAGCAATGAACAAGTGAAATTAAAAACAATACCAATAACAATAGCACCCCCAGAAATGAAATATATATGATTTAACAATATTTACAAAATATATATGAGAAAAACTATAAAATGGATGAAAGAAATCAAAGAGCTAAATAAATGGACAGATATTCCATGTCCTTGAATAGGAAGACTCAATATTGCCAAGACATCAGTTCTTCCCAACTTCATCTATAGATTCAACACAATCCCAATCAAAATCCCAGAAAATTATTTTGTGAATATCAACAAACTGATTCTAAAGCTTATATGGAGAGGCAAAAACCCTGGAAAAGCCAACACAATATTAATGGAGAAAAACAAAGTCAGAGGACTGACACTAATTTCAAGACTTACCATAAACCTACAGTAATCAAGTCATTGTCATGTGGTATTGGCAAAAGAATAGACAAATGGATCATTAGAACACAATAGAGAGCCCATAAGTAGTCTCACACAAATACAGTTAACAGATCTTTGACAAAGGAACAAAGGCAACACAATGGAGAAAATCTTTTCAACAAATGGTGCTGGAACAACTGGACGTCCACATGCAAAAAAATTAAGCTAGACACAGATCTTACACCCTTCAAAAAATTAACCCAAAATGGATCATAAACCTAAGTGTAAAACACAAAATTATAAAACTCCTAGAAAGTAACATAGGAGAAAATCTAGATTACCTTTGGATTGGTGATGACTTTTTAGATACAACACCAGAAGTATGAATCACGAAAGAAATAATTGATAAGCTGGACTTCATTAAAATTAATGCACTCTGTGAAAGACACTGTTAAGAGAATAAGACAAGCCACAGACTGGGAGAAAGTATTTGCAAAAGACATATCTGATAAAGTACTATTATTCAAAATATACAAAAGAACTTGTAAAACTCAACAATAAGGCAAACAAGATTGAAAAATGGGCCAAAGACCTGAACAGACTCCTCACCAAAGAAGATATACAGACGGAAAACAAGCAGATGAAAAGATGATATACATCATATGTCATCAGGGAAATACAAATTAAAACAACGAGATACCGGGGCTGGCCCGGTGGCACAGCAGTTAAGTGCGCACATTCCACTTTGGTGGCCTGGGGTTCGCCAGTTTGGATCCTGGGTGCAGACATGGCACCACGTGGCATGCCATGCTGTGGTAGCCATCCCACATATAAAGCAGAGGAAGATGGGCATGGATGTTAGCTCAGGGCCAGTCTTACTCAGCAAAAAGAGGAGGATTGGCAGCAGTTAGCTCAGGGCAAATCTTCCTCAAAAACAAAACAAAAAACAAAACAAAAAACAACGAGATACCACTACATACCTATTAGAATGGCCAAAATCCAGAACACTGACAACACCAAATGTTGGCCTGGATGTGGAGCAACAGGAACTCTCATTCATTGCTGGTGGAAATGCAAACTGGTACAGCCACTTTGGAAAACAGCTTGGCAGTTTCTTACAAAACCAAACATATGTTTACTATACGATCCAGCAGTCACACTCCTTGGTATTTACCTAAATGAGTTGAAATCTTATGTCCGCACAAAGACCTGCACATGGATGTTTATAGCAGCTTTATTCATAATTGCCAAAACTTGGAAGCAACCAAGATGTCCTTCAGTAGGTGAATGGGTAAGTAAACTGTGGTACATCCAGATGATGGAATCTTATTCAGCGCTAAAAGAAATGAGCTATCAAGCCATATAAATTCATGGAGGAATCTAAACGCATATTGCTAAGTGAAAGAAGCCAATCTGAAAGGCTACATACTATATAATTCCAACTATGTGACATTCTGGAAAAGGCAAAATTATGGAGGCAGTAAGAAAATCTGTGGTTGTCAAGTACTGGGGGGAATAAGTGGAGCTCAGAGGCTTTTTAGAGCTGTAAAACTATTCTGTATGATACTATAATGGCTACATGTTATTATACATTTGTCAAAACCCAGAATATGCAATACTGAGCGTGAACCCTAATGTAAACTAGGGTCTTTTAGTAATGGTGATGTATCAGTACTGGTTCAGCAACTGTAACAAATACATCACTCTGGGGCAGGATGCTGGTAGTAGGGGAGGATGTGGGTGTACAGGAGCAAGGAGTGTATGGGAACTCTCTGTACTTTCTGCTCAATTTTGCTGTGCATCTAAAATCACTCTAAAAAATGAAGTCTATTTAGAAGGCAAAAAATTTAATAGATATTTTAATAAAATATAGGTTCATATTGACCTTCCTGGTTATGGCCTTAATCTCTATTTAAAAGAATATTGACCATGGGGCTGGCCTGGTGGCATAGTGGTTGGGTTCGCGTGCTGTGCTTTGGTGGCCAGGGTTCGTGGATTCAGATCCCAGATGCAGACCTATACATGGCTTGTCAAGCCATGCTGTGGTGGCATCCCATATACAAAATAGAGGAAGATGGGCACAGATTTTAGCTCCAGGACAATCTGCCTCAAGCAAAAAGAGGAAGATTGGTAACAGATGGTAGCTCAGGGCCAATCTTCCTCACCACAAGAAAAAATAATAGTAATATTGACCAATATTTGCACATTATGAGACTATTACTTAAAGATATTTTCCATAAATAATTTTGATATAAAATCATGTAACTCAGATGAATTGGGGGTGGGTGGTGTTCTTTTTACCAAAGAATTTGTTACACAAGTTCAGTTTGGTAAGCAAACCTATTTAGTATTGTTATGTGTTGTCGTCTACATATGAGGTAGAAAAAACAGCTAAACCAGAACTGAGCAGTTCTGTTTAACTGTAAACCACGTTGCATATTGTTACTAAATAATCACCTATAAATCAGGTTAAGTCTGACTCAGCCCAAAATACAGCATCTTGGCGACAAAATTCAGGTAAGAGATTCTCCTCTGGAGTGGCCCATGGGGAAGAGTAAGAAGATAGTTTTTAAGAAAATCCCTAGACGCAGCTGATAAATGATGAATTTTGTCAGCTATCTGATCATTCCATTATTTTAAACTATCAGATATGCTCATATGTTGAAAGATCCAGGTTTTGCTGGTGATTAAATCATCTGGAGGAGTGGAAAGGGTTTTTTGGTTTGGAAGTCAGGAGACCTAGGTTCTGACCCCTGCTGGCACCAGCTCTGCCACCTCAGCCAAGTCACAGCCTATGAGGGACTAAATAAGAGGATTTCCAAGGTTCCTTCCAGCCCTGACGTTGTTCCATAATTCAATTATACATGCAGTTGTAGCTTTGTGTTTTACATGCTAGATTTTTTTTTTTTTTTTAAGGAAGATTTGCCCTGAGCTAACTGCTGTCAATCCTCCTCTTTTTGCTGAGGAAGACTGGCCCTGAGCTAACATCCATGCCCATCTTCCTCTACTTTATATGTGGGACGCCTACCACAGCACGGCTTTTGCCAAGCAGTGCCGTGTCCGAACCCGGCATCCGAACCTGCGAACCCGGGGCTGCTGAAGCAGAATGTGCAAACTTAACCGCTGCACCACAGGGCCAGCCCCCATGCTAGATATTTTTAACTTCTCTGAAA